CGGCGCCGGAAGCGGCCATGTATCGAGGAATGGGCCCCTCGGTGGGGCCAAAACCAGCTGCATGCAGCAAATTTCGTAACCCCCTTCCCCAATCCCCCCCTTTCGCCCGGCCCGAGGGGGGACGGGGGGAACCTGGCTCCGGACCTCTGCTTAGTGCGACTGTCTGCAGCAGTGCGTCCTGTGAGGGGGGCGACTCCACCTGCTCGAAACACGTGCCAAAAACAGCCAAGATCCACGCCATGGGGGGGAGGGGGGGGGTGAGGGCCCGCGCCGATCGGCAAAACAATGAATAAAAGCAACGATCACATGTAATTCGTATGGTTGGCTGATGCTGATAGAGTCTTAAGCGCGGACCGCAGGACCACCTCATCAGCCTCTGGGGCATCAGCCACGCACGAACCCCGACTGGACACCCCGCCCTGCGACCTACCCACACAGTTGTCCAACACACAAAACAGCGCCTGCGGAGGGCTGCTTTCCAGACCCCCAACGTCATGATTGTTTCACAAGTTCGACCCCCGAAGTCTCGACCCATTCCACGCGAGCGGTTTTGCATTCTGGAGCGTTTTCTGACGGTCCCGAGGCCCGGTAAGGGCCCACAAAGACCCAAAATGTTGAAGAACCGTCCGCCGTGTTTTTTCCATGACTCGAGGGGGTCTGCTTCTATCTGATGAAAAGCCCCTGGCCCGTCCCCTGCGCCTGGCCGAAATCCACGCCCTCGACCTCGCTGAGCAGCCGCTTGACCTCCGCCCCCCACGCCGGGCCGGCCCCGGCGCATGCACAGGCAGCTGCGCAGCCGCTGTCCAGAAAGATCTTCGAGAGATCGCGGGTAGATGTCTACGGCAGGTTCGTATCGTTCGGCGGCGAGCGAGGGGCGAAAGCGAGAAATAGGCCTTCTCAGAAGGCGGCGGAGCTTCTCAGAAGCCCTCCAGCTTTCTGAAACAAATCAGTGCTTTCGGGCAAGACTGAGGAAGCTTCTCAGAAGGCCGGGATGGCTTCCAAGCCTTCTAAGAAGAGCCGCCCCTCTCACTTCCCCCCTGCCGCTGGTTTCCGAAACCACGTGGATAGGCCAAACTTGAACGATCGGCGGCTGTTCGAGTAGCAAATCGCTCCATACTGGCCGATTCTGGGCCACTGGCGGTGTTCAACCTTGAGCGCCCGCGCTGGGGTCGCCGCCGCGTCGACACGACGCGAACCTGCCGTAGGTAGGTCGGTGGACAGGCAGATACAGCCAACGTCTTTCTACAAAATACCATGCAATTACGAAGCCAAGCCGCAAGGCCTGACCGTTCCCGAGCGTCAGACCGATCTTACCTAAGGCTTCCCAAAAGAACACCGGAAGAACACCGACAAGCTTCCGAATCCAACCAGCCGTCTGGACGCAGGTGGTCCAACGATATCTGCATCCTGTTCCTCAACCCCTCCCCCCTTCGAGGAGCGGTACCCTGCCCCTCCCATCCCTGAAGATGGCTCCAAGAGGGCCTCCGGTCCTCCAAGATAGCCTCCAAGATGGCCCAGAAAAGCTGAAGATGGTTCAAGCTGGCCTCCATGCTGCCTCCCCTTGGCCCCAAGAGAGGTACAATATGGCTAGAAGTGCTCCTGGAGCCCCCAAAGGACCCCTCCCAAGATGAAAAATCCTTCAAAGACGAAGTGATGGTTCGTTTCATGTCGTTTCGATAGGGCGTTTGATTTTAGATACGCTTTTAAGACCTCAAAATGGCTCCAAAATGGCCCAAGAAGGCCCCAATAGAGGCCCAAGAAGCCACTAACACAACCCCTAACCGCCCGAGCACCCGACAAGGGCCGTCCAAGAGGCCCTCGAGAGTTTCCAAGAAGCTCCCGAGAAGCCCCACAAGAGGGCCCCCCCAAAAAGCATCAAGAAGACCCCAAGACGTTGATTGTTGTTTGGGCCTGGAGCTTGAGCCATTCCATGACGGTCGACACCACTGTCCGTAGAGTTTTCCAACCTGTGGATTGCAGCCCTGAACATGTAGTCTGCGGCAACAGAGCAGTCAACACCCACAATTCGGTTGCATTACCAAGAAAATACATGTGGACCTTTTGGGCGCGACGAAGAGGACAAACACGAGGAGGGAGGTGGAGGTAAGAACGAGGAGGATGCCAATAGGAAAGATGCGGACGCCCGTGAACGGCGCGCCGGTTCCGGCATGCATGACACGCTGCTCACCCGCGCCCTCGCGCTCGCAGGCTGCTAGCTGGGCTCCAAGAAGGGCCCAGGGAGGGAACCAAGAGGGCCCCGAGAAGGTCCCAGGAGGGCCCCAACAGGCGTGGGGACATGCGGCCGCCGTTCCCCACGTCGATTCGAGGTTCCGCGGCCGGTCTTCGAGCCCTCTTGGGGCTCTCTGAAGTCCCTCCCTTCTCGTCCTCGAGCCCTCCCACCGCATCTTCCCTCGCGTTCCCAATGCCGCGCGGCGCCGTGCTTTGCCGTTCGTGCTCGAAGCAATCCATGCATCGTCGTATCATGTGCGGGCACAGGGTCCCCCCGAAGCCCTCCCCCGAAATAGGCACCGAGGTCGGGGCACCATCGGGGTGTGGAGCAGCGGCCGTGCAGAGTGATCGAATCCACAGATTGTGTTGTCAAGTGCGGACAACATTCTTGCTGGGGGTCGTCCGCAAAGTGTACGTTCAGGTGTGGGCCGGAGGCAGTCCACATATTGTACTATCATGTGCGGCCACAGGGTTCCCACCCAGGCCCCCCCCGGCCCGAAACAGGCACCGAGGTCGGGGCACCGTCGGGTTGTCGAGCAGCGGTCGTGCACAGTGACCAAAACCAAAGATTGTGCTGTCAAGTGCGGACATCATTTTTGTTTGGGGCCGTCCGCAAGTTGTACTGTCAATCGTGGACATGTGCCCATGGTCGAAAGCTTGTGCTGTCAAGTGCGGACAGATTGCCTGGGCCTGTTCGCGCACTGTCTGCGGACAAGGAGTGCGCCCACAATACAGTCTGCGGACACGCTTGTTGTCCGCAAGTGGTCCTGAAGGTGGGCATCCATGTTGCCCGAGCTGGCTATTCAGATCGACGGGGGGGTCTTGCCTGCGCGCGCCGAATCTACATTCCGATGTCCTAGGTAACCCCTCTTCGATTTTCTTGGCCGCCCCCCCCCCCAGGCCGCCCCCCCCCCCCCAGCCCACAGGTCACCTGGGAGGCCCCCAGGCTCCTAGAAGGTCGCGGCCATCTCTGAGCCTAGAGGTGCGAGGATGTCCCAGGCGAAACTGGCCAGACTACTTCAGGTCAGGGCAGATCTGGGCCTAGAGACGCGAGGAAATCTCGGGCGAAACGGGCTGGGCGAGGCATAACAGAGCCCCCCAGTCGTGAGGATGTCTCAGGCTAGACAGGCTGGTCACCTCGCGAGCGGCACCTCCTCCTGCTGCTCGGCCTCCTCAGCCATATGTTCCTCCTCCTTGTGCTGCTGCTGGTCCTCAATCTCACCCCGACTCACAGGGAGACGAAAAACAGAGGAGGAGAGTGAGGGTCCCAGGGGACCGCGCAATGGACAATGCCGAACAACATCAGAATTGTCAAACTTATTGCCCATGCGCCAATTTGCAGAATATTCGTGCCAACCGAAGGTACGTCACATGGATTCGTTCGTTGACCACGTGCCTCGGTTGATCCAGCTTCGCCCCGTCGGAAGCGCGCACTGCGCAGTCAGCGCTGGCATCTGCAGGAGAGCCCAGATTCGAATCGACAGGTCGGCTCGGCGATCGAAATGAATCGGATCGGCGGAAATCGGCAGCCGATTCGGGAAAATCGCATCGGCGGAAATCGGCGGGCTAGTATGCCTCAAATAAGAAACCTGACCAGACAAGAACGGGAAGCACTGTCTTCGGAGAAAGTCGTGCCATTGCCTCGACACGGGCCTCCCCTTCGTACCATCATCGTCATCACCATTACCATCACCATCATCATAACCATCACAATCATCATCATCATCATCATCATCATCATCATCATCATCATCATTATCATCATCATGATGATCATCATCATCACCACCATCATCATCAACACCACCATCATCAGCATCATCGTCACCATCATCATCCTCATCCTCATCCTCATCCTCAACAACATCGTCAGCACCCTCGTCGAGCCTGGAAGTATAATGAGTCACAGGTTAAGAATGCACTGCTCCCCCACGCAACCAACCGAGACAGCTGGGCTGGCGAATAGAACGAGCCAGTAGAGAAGCGCGACCCGAAGGAGAGGAGAAACGAGGAACACAGAAGGAAGGAATCAAAGGAGATGGGACGAGAAATCGGCTGACCTCAGAGAGCTCCAAAAATGCACCCAAGGTCGCCTTCCGGGAGCGATTCCCAGATAATGCTGGTTCGGAGTGCCCTGCGGAGCTAATTTTTTGGAGGATATCTCGAGCGAAACGGTGTTTTTCGGGAAATCCGCCTGCGAGTTTCCAGATGCGGCCCGGATCCTATAATTCTTTACCACCACCAAGCGGTCTACGCCAGGGGCGCTTTCCTGAATAAAATTGTGACGGGGGATGCATTTTTTGGAGCGGCGGGTCGTCTATCCATTCAATGCAGCACGAGCGTCGCAGTCGCGCAGCACTCGCGGCAGCAGTGACGCCGCCGCGGCGGCCCACGCACGTCGCCGCCAGCATGGACGGGCTTCTCAGTGGACGCTGTTGTCGCCCGTCCACGGACTGTTACGGGAGCTTCTGGTAGATGCAATATGCCGCCGTGGCTCCCCCCGCTGTTCTGCCGATGGTTCTGTGCATTTCACGACGGTCGAACGTGACCTGGTTCACGTTAGAGTCATCGTACAACCACCTTCCGTCGGGAACGCATGGCGACGTGCTCTCGGGCTCTACGCATCCACCACCCATGCAACCGTGCGCCAGGGGGGACAGGGGACGCTCAGAACTGACAAAAATCAAGTCCGAGGGCTCGCCGCTATGCTTTCCCGCAGTCCTGGCCACCACGCGCTGTCACTTGCGCGGGTCGACGCAGACCGCGTGCGCCTGCACACGGAAACCCAGTGGCCCGTCATGGCGGAGCTGCCCGTGTGGAAAGCCGCGGCCGCCAGCTCATAGCATGCGCCGTCCACCGCGAGGGACAGGTCGCAGTGGACGTAGTGCATGTGCTTCAGAGTCCGGTTTGTCGACCTGTCGTAGTAGAACCGGCCAAGACCCAGGGCCAACAGTTCCGGCCAGTGAGTGATGAGCGTCTTCTTCATGGCCACTCCGCCCGACCCGCACACGCCGCACGTGTGCTCGGCCAACGTCACGTCGTCAATTCGACTGACTGACTGCCGGAGCGCTTCGCTCAACGTGTCCGCTAGAACAGCGCCGAACTCGTCCGCGACTCTCACGTAATGCACCGAGAATGGAAACGTGCGCCGGGTGCACCACTGCGACGTGCCGAGGCAAGGCTGGTGGGGGCACGCGTACACGTCGGCGTATGCACCAGTAAACAGACTTGCAACGGGCGACTCCTCCGCTGCAAGTGCAGTCAGCACACGCCGGAGGAAGTCGAACGAGTCGTCGTGGTTTCCAGCGCACACGAGGAATGGGCCGCCCTCCGCTGGCATGTACCACTCGCGCGGCAGCTCCGTGCGGCGCGTGGAGTCGCAGAAGCAGCGGAGGGGCTGGTAAGGCAGTGACTGAGCAGACGGCAAGGATGATTGCGCTTCGCGAAGTACGTCCACGAATCGCGCGCTGACGGCGCCCTGGTGTTCCTCGGCAGCGGCCCTCCGGACGGCGCGCCGCACCTCCCAGTTCGTGAAGAGGGCTGCAAACGTACTGTTGATGAAACAGCTCGCGCCCATGTTCGACGCCGGGCGCACGACGGACTCGTAAAGTTGTGAAGCACTCCAGTGTTCCCACCTGTTGCAGTCGTGCGTCACCGTCCCCGCGCGCAAGCACATGTCACAAGGGGTGAATCTGCAAAGCGCGCTCCTGCAATCTGCATGGCATCTGTGGCCGCGCGCGGGACACGGCGGTGCGTCTGCCGCCTCGCAGTAGTGCGCGTCCACTGTGCAGCGCCTGTGCTCTCTGCAAGGCGGCGGCTGAGCGTCGGGGGCGGCCGCGTCCGGGGAGTTCGTGGGGTTGGCGGGCGCGGCGTGGTCTGCGCGGTCCGCGCTTGTCCGCGCACGATTGGTGTGGTCGTTGTCGGAGCAGGTCGAGATGCCAGACTTTCCCCGGAGCCGCTTGCGGGTTCTGGGTGCGTCCGTCGCGGCCTGCGACGTCTGGGCCGCGGGATTGCGTCGAGAAGCGGCAACCCGAGATGCCTGCTCCGATGCCGCATTCGGTGCAAGGACCGCGTCCATGAGATCGCCCGGTAGATCGCCCCCAGCCTGGTCGCGTAAGATGCGCACGAGGACGGCCAGCGACGATGTCTCAATGTCGGCCAGTCTGGAGATCTCGTCGAGCAGGAACTGCGGCGGCTTTCGGGAGAGTTCTCGTCTGGTCGCAGGTCGTAGGATGAACAGGCTCTCGACGGAGATTGCGCGGGAAATCATCTCGTAGCATGCCAGCCAGTGCGTGTCCGCGTCCATGGAAGGCGGCCGCTTCATGTCAGCCACCACTGCTGAGTAAGTGCCTCCTTGAGCGCCGTATACAATAATTGTATCTGCAGGTAGCAGCCGATACGTGGTGCGGCGCACGGAGAAGTGTTCCTCCTCCCACGCCGCGCGCAAGTACCCACACGTCGGTCGTACTTGGAAGAGCCCGCGCCGGTCCGTACACGTCGGGAGGTCTCCAGCCAGGTGGGCCGCCGGAAGTTCCCACTCCGCGCCGTCAGCCTGCAACCACAAGGAGACAGGCATGAAACGCAAGTGCACGACGTTCTCGTCGACGGTGCCCGGTTGGAACGGTTCCCCGTCGGCGAAGACGATGTGGCGCAGTGTGCATGCGCAGCCCTTCATGAGGCCCAGCCGGACGCAATCTTTGGAGCACATCGTCAGGCGCATCCCGATGTACAGGGGCAGGAGGCTCGGCAAGTCCTGGGTGTCCTTCGGGCTCACCTTCTGCAGGAGCTCTCGTCGGACCTGGTCTGTCAGTTTGAGGGAGTCGGCGGGGTCCACCGGCTCGTCTCTTGCTTGGACGACGTACAAGACGTGGCCATGCCGCGCTGCGTGTTGCTTGGCGTTCTGCATGGATCGGTAGACGCGGATTTTGTGTCGGTGGACGATGTACGTCCAGGGGTGCGTCGAAAAAGGCGACGCGGGGTGGTGCGGACGCGCGTCATCAGGACATAGTATGCGGCTGGTATAGAGGGACCACATCGCGTCTGAGATGTCCCCGGCACGCATTTCCGCTTGCAGCTGGCTGAGCGGGCCAGGCGCGCGGACGTTGACGTCAAGCGTCGCGACGTACCGGACGCGGCGCCACAGCTGCAGTCCTTGCACTGTTTCCACGTGCTTGGATCTCTTCCTGTCCACGTCCTTTTCGAGGCCGTCATCAACTTTCTCATTGAGGACGTCAACTCGTCAAGATCCGTGGCGAGGCTCTTGCTGTCTCCCGTTGTGTCGACCGGTGGGAGCTGCATGAAGCCCCCGGAGAACGTCATGCCCATGCCGCCCCAAGCCCGGGTGGAGTTCTTCGCTGTCTTCAGCCGGACTTCTGCCTGGAAGAGCTGCGCCGCTGCGACCATGGAGACTTCGTCAATGAAGCACGCGCGGGCGCTCTCCCATCGGCTTCGATGGGTCTCCAAAACACTGCGAGTGAGGCGCCCGCGCTTGCTGGACACTGTCACGTCGTTGCCGAACGGTAGCTTGCAGAGTGCGTGGAGCGTGTCCCCCTTGAGAAGTCGCGCCGCCGAGTTCGACGGCGCGCATTTCTGCACGGTGTCTGGACCGATAAAATAGCACGCAACTGCTTCAACAACTCGCAGGACCGCCGTCTTGCCAGTGCCGCCAGGGCCCATGAGCGCGAGCTGGAACCCGTCATCAAGAGAGAGTCGCCCAGTGACTGTCGGCCCCGACGGGTCGTCGAACCCCCGCGCGCGGTTCATCGCGTCCTGTAGCCAGGCAGCATTCCACATCAGGGCACGCGCCTGTTTCACGTTGATCTCCGGCATGTCGACAACGTTCAGAACGCCCGCTCGGAGCAGGTGAACGCAGGCGTCGAGCACTGCTGTCCGAGTTTGGGGAGGCACCGGAGGGAATGCAGACTCTCGGCCGTTCGCCATTGCGGTGCCCAGCCGGTGCTGCAATGAGTCCACCGTGTTCCTGGAGGGGGTTGCCGATAGGTTGGAGGCGTCTGCTTTCCATGCGTCAATCATCTTGAAAAAGTCCGCCTGTCGGTCCGCAGCTGCCAGGGAGGCGGCCGGGCGCAGCCGCGCGACTTCTGAAGCGAGAGGCGCGCCAGCGGCCGCGCTGGCTGCTCTGAGGCGGGCGGATGTCTCCCGCGTGAACTCTACGATGTACTTCGCCTCTGCAGCTGTGCTTCTCTGCCATGACGCAGGGGCAACGACGTCGTTCAGTTCCACGCCCTCAGGCAAAGTGCCGCAGAGTACGCTCGTCGGGTCGGGAGCTCTGTGCCGCGGGGCGGGGCCGCTGTCACTCGCATCGCTTCCGTCCAAGGGGAGGTCGTTCGGATGGGCGTCTGCGTCGTCGTCGGTGTCCAGCACAGGATCGGGATCGTGAGCAACCGGCTCCGCCTGTCCGCCGCGCGCGGCGTCCCATGGTGGGAGGAACGACATCTGCGCACTCGAGGGGACGGCTTCACTTATGGCTTGTCTTCTGGAGGAAGCGAAGTCGTAGTTGCGAAGGCAGTCCTCGGTTCTGTGCGCCCACCACTCCGCGGACAGAGGCGGCGTCTCCGCGGTGAACTGGAGAGCCGCCTCTCGGATTGAAGTTTCCCAGGCGTGGAAATCGTTGACGACGGCTCTTTGGAATGCGCACTCGCCATGCGTCCATGGTTCTCGAGTGATCCGAGTGACAAAGTCTTTGAGGGATCGGAACGGCCTAAACAGAATCATCACGTGCAACGCGTAGGCGAACCACGCGTCGTCGAGGTCGTCTTCGGCCGGCCGGCCGGGCAGCTTGCCGTAGAGAATAGGCACCTTCCACGGCTTTGTCAGGCGCAATGACACGTAGTACGCGTACCTGTACAGCATGGCACCGCGGGGCTCTTCGTCGGTCGGATCCCCGCGGAGCGGCACTCCATCGTACGTCGCGCTCGTCACTGGTGCAGACGTGTACTGCCGGCGGGCCTCGTCTGGAAGCCACCGGAGAGATCCCGGGGGGGGCTTCTTTCCAAGGGGCATCTTGGCGTCGCAACTCGCGAAGAAGAAATACAGCGGAAAGTGCTCCAGCTCAGCGGGTCTGTGCACGTAGTCCAACTCCCCTAGATGTAGATTGGCGGGAGTCACCCTCGTCGCATACGGTCGGGGCTGGCCCGGATCTGCGGAGTCCGCCTCTCCGCGTGCTGATCGGCATATTTTGGCACGGATGATCGCGAGAAGCTTGCCGAAGAAGACTGGGACGAACGTGTGGCTGCTGAATACTATAGGCTTGCGTAACAGGTAACTGATCATTTCAGGGAAGCCTTTGTGCATCCGGTTGTTCGTGGCGGCTACCAGGGTGTGCAACAACTTGCGAGCCTTCTCCTGGTCGTCGTTCGCTTCCCGGGCGGCATCTGCCAATGCTGCGCGCTCCTTTCTCTCGAGGGACGCGGCTAATGTCATCTTCAGCCCGTCTGCATGCGGCTGCGCTTTGGAGGAGCACGCCGAGGCGTAATACTCGTGGTCGCCCATGGCTTCCGCCATTGATGCTTTCACTTGGGCGACGCGGGCCGCGTCCGGGAGGTTGGCGTCGTCTGCGGGGATGTCGCAGAATCGCAGCAGGACAGCCAGGTCATGGTTGCACTGCGGCCCGAGCATAATGGCGGGGTTCATGCGGAAGTGGAACGGGTGCGTGGTCTCGAGGGCCGGGGGCCCGACGCGGGGCGGATAACGCCATATCGGCAACTGCCCGGAGCACTGCTCTGGGGTTCACAGTTCGAGGGGGTCGCGGGCGAGCGCGGGCGAACGACCGAGCGCGCGCTGGCTGCAAGGGCCCCGCACCTTGTCCCCCGCCCCAGGCGACCCCGCGAAAAAGGCAGACGCGCGGCTCGAAACGGGCATAGGATGTCCGAGAAAAACCAGGGGCCCAGGGGGAACTCAGCGAGCGACTGACGTTGCGACCCCTCATACCGTGAACCCCCACGAGCAGACGAGCGATCCTCGTCCGCGAGAAGACTTCCCGCACTGCTCTCTCAGACCATGCTCCGCTGTCGACGTTGGGGTCGCAGGAGAAGGACGACGGGAAGAATGCGAAATCAGGCACGTCGCTGGCGCTCGCAGCTGGATGCTGGAGCCCCCGTCCTCGCCACTGGGCCGCGTTGCTGGCGACCGCGCGCGCGCTCCCGATCTTCTCCCGCTGCGACTTCGTCAAGGGCAGCAGCGGCAGTTGTTGAAGGGCGGCTTCTCCTTGGGGGTCCTTTGCGTAATGTGCGAAGGCCTCCGTGCTGCGGAACGTAATGGAGGCCACGTAGTGCCAGGCCCGCCGGAAGGTGTTCTGCAGGTGGTCGCCTCGGAAAAGATCGTCTGGATGAGAGAAGCCGACGAGCTGGATGGGCATGTGGACGTGCAGCGCTTTGCGCATCTGTTCTTCCACGACGCCGAGGTACGCTCGCACGTGTCCGACGATGCCCGGTAAGTCCTTCGCAGCGATGCCGTCGCAGTTCAGCTGGTCTGGTGCGTCGCTGCAGTTGAACAGCGCGCGCATGGCGAGGCGCGCAGTCCAGTGGAACACGCGCGCGGCAATGAGCGGGCCCCGCGCAATGACTCTGTGCAGGCGTCGCGGGTCCTCCCAGTTGAAGTCGGCCATCCACTCGTCCGCGTCCGCGTCGCTCATGTCCAGCGAGAAGCGCTGAGAAAAGGTCGCATTGTCCTGGGCCAGCATGACGGCGAGCGGGCTTCGGATGTCGTGTGGGTTCAGGGTGAAGAAGAGCGATGCGCACCCAAACCATATACGCAAAGCTCGACATCTCCAAATGAAGCCGTCTCGTTCTTCGGCGGAGCCGCGAACACGTCGGAGCACAAGTTGCATTCTCTGAGCGGCGTTCCGCACCGCGGGATCCAGTCACAGGAGGGCGAAAGAGCATCCTCGCGCTCGCCGCGCCCCTACCCTTGGGCAATCACGAAAACAACTGTGCACCCAAGAAGTTTTTGCACTTCACTCATCGTCGCCCTGCGACGCGAGCCCCGTGGGCCGCTGCGCCTCAGGCCCGGCGGAGCCGGCCGCGGGCTTTTCGGGGGCTGGCCTACAGAGCCCCGACACTCGAGGGTGAAGACGACCGGCAAAAAAGAGCAAAAGTGCACGCCTTTCTACCCTCAGACACACACACACGCACACACGCACACACACACATACGCACACATCGGACCCCCGACCTTCTTGTTGGGGCCGAGGGATTCCCAGAGGAGGTGGCTGAGCTGGACTGATCGGGGATGAGCTGCGCAATTTGAACTTCCTGTCAGACGCGCGATCCTCGACATCAGAGCGAGGGGGCCCGAACGGTCATTCACTGTCCTCGGGTGCGCGGCTGAAGTGGGGATCCGCGGTGAGGATTATTGTTGTTGTTGTTGTTGTTGTTGTTGTTTGTTGTTGTTGTTGCTGCTGCGTCGTCCCCCCCTGCCCCCGGCGACCCGCCCCGCGACTCGCCCCGCGACCCGCCCCGCGACCCACCCCGCGGCGACCCGCCCCGCGATCCGCCCCGCGACCCACCTTGCGATCCACTCCGCGGCGACCCACCCCGCGACTGACTCCGCGACCCACCCCGCGACCCACCCCGCGGCGACGCGCTCCGCGGCCCACCCCGCGCCCGCCCCCTCACTCTGATCTGCAATTGCGGGGTGCTACGTAAGATTTCTAAAGAGTGCCCAAGGGAGAGTGGCGGGGGAGCGGCATTACTCCCCACACGTCCTTTCTGGCGGAGATGGTCTCGGAGGTTGGCGGCGCCCCCAGCAGCCGCAGCAGAAGAGACCAGTCCTTCAGCAGTGATCTGCGTGAGCGCCTCTGCCTGCGCCGCCGTCATGCCAGTGATGCCGTCGTTGTTGGTGGACCTCACGTGCGCCTCAACGCTGGCCATCTGGTCTAGCCTGAGGAATGTGTTGAAGACAGTCGCCACGAACTCGACATCTCGGCGCCAGCACGCGGCGTCGGCCCGAGCGAGCAACGTCTTCGCCCACTGCGCCGCGGGGAGGCGCGCAGGTCTGCGCGGGCACGTCTCCTGGCAATCCCCCCGCGGGAAGAGGCGGACGAAGCACGCCGCCCAGAAGTTCTCTGCCCGAGACGAGAAGAACTGGTTCCCGTGGGCAATCCTCACCGCCGGCGCGTCAGCTCGCTCCTCGGCCGCCCATGCATCCAACTCCTTCCGTGCGGAGTCCTGGGACATGCGCTGCATTGCCTCGACGGCCTTGCCTAGGGCCTCGTTGTGTCTCACTTTCTTCAGCGTGCGTGCGCACGCGTCGCCATCGTCGGTGAGTCGCTGGATCTCTTCTTGGAGACGCGATGCCACGTCGAAATTCTCCACGACACGCGTCCACAGTCGGAGCGAGGGGACGTCGTCCAAGCCACCATTGACGACAGCAGCGTTGCCGTCCTCATCCGGCTCCACTGGGCCCAGGCTGGGAACGCCGGTGTCTGCGCAGTCAGCGGGTCCTTCCGCTGCGACAGAGGTCTTGGCCGCAGACGCTGCAGTTGCTGAGGTCAGTACTTCTCGGGGGACCCCGCATGCGCCCCCGATGCTCTTCTTGCACGCGGCGAGGAGGCCCTCTAGGTCGGCGTGCAAGGTGCCATTGAGCCAGACATCGTGGTGCCGGGTAGCATACATGAACATCCAGTTGTTGAGAGATAGCCAGCGGAACGCTTCGCGCAATCGAACGACGGAAACCTGGAGGCCCCGGTGACGCCGGAGATCGTCGAGCACACCGCCCACGAATTGGACCGCCATGGTCTGGGCCAGGGCAGCAGGCAACATACCAATAGCACTGAGCGCAGTGTCGGGGCTCTGCGGGTACGCCACCACGTTCTTCTGGTGGTGCACGGGGGCCTCCGCAGCGATCGTGGGCGCGTGCGATGCCTTGCTCAGGAACACTCGCTTCACGCTGACATACACTTTCGCCAGGTTGATGACTTTGCACTCGGCGTATGTCAGATCCACAAACTCGCGGGGGTCTGGGCCTCGCCACATCCCGTTCGCCAGAGCAGCAGGAGGCACGCGCGCCCGTGGGCGACGATCCCCGGAATTGCCGGCCAGTTCCCGCAGGGCGGACGCGCAGTGCTTGCACATCCTCGCGACGATTCCGCAGGTGTCATCCTCACCGTCGGCGTTGGTCTGCAAAAGCCCTGGGCGGTGTAGCAGCCACCGTCTGTCTGGATGGCCTGATGGGGCGTTGGGGAGAAGCTGAAATGCAGCGCCCTGCGCGCGGAGAGGAGGCAGGCAGTGTGTTCTCGCAATAATGAGAGGGGCCAGATGAGAGAGTGCGATTGGGAAGGGCATGAGCTGGAGCACAGGGAGAAAGAGGATGAACGAGGGTCAGTGGGGCCAGATGAGGGAGTGCGACTGGGAAAGGCATGGGCTGGGGCACAGGGGAGAGGATGACCGAGGGTCAACAAAGGGGAAAGGGGCGGCGGAATGCCCTGAAGCCTGGCGAGACGATGGCGCGAACAGTTGCCGCCCAGCGCTTCGCTCTCTGCAACCAGGACTGCGCAGCCGCCAGGGTGGTGAAGCCCAGAGAACTTTCCTCCCCCTGCAGCAAAGCGTCGACGTTCAGCTGCGCGTCTCGCACCCGCTCACTCACGCAGAAAATCTGTTCCATGCACCTGTCAATGTTGAAGACGCTGTCCAGTTGGTCGTGCCAGGCGCCCTTGTGCGCGGCCCAGACGTCTGCAGGCCACTGAAGCCAATCAGGGCACTCGTCGTCTGAAGGTAGGGGTACATGCGCTGTCTGCAGTTTGCATCGGCGCTTTTCCCGAGCGCAGACCGCGCAAGGTGCCATGGCATAGTTGTCATCGGTAAGCTCCTCTTTGAATGCCGCCAGGCGTGCTCGCACGATTTGGGGGCTGATGGGCGTCGGCCACTCTGCGAGGGAACGCTGCAGAACGTGGCGCCGATACGAATCCACCGCATCGCAGTCTGGGTCAAGCACGTCGCGATGCATCTCTATCAGGTGCGCCGGAAGGTCTTCCGAGCGCACGTGCGCGAGACACAATCGGCAATGTTCGGGGGGTAAATACTGCGGAGTGGTCGAATACGCCGGCAATGAATCTTGCGGCTGGCATTGGTGTAGGAGCATTTGAAGCGCAGGCTCTGATCCGGACCAGATCTGCACAGGCGGCAAGGAATCCAAGTATTCTTCGCTCTCGCTGCGCACCAGCTGCGCGAGCACGGCGGGGGAGCGCCCCGCGAAGCATTTCTGGCAGCAGTGCATGTAAATGCGGGCATGTCGCGCGGCTGTCTCGCCGCACGCGATGCACAGGGACCCTGCTGCCGCCCAGCACGCGTCGCACAGGGCCGGGGAAGTGTGGAAATGGGCAGAGCACAAGGTGCATAGGCGGACCGACCGATGGCAGCCAGGAGTCGCACAGCCTTGACGTGACACTTCCAGGTCTTGCCCCGTGGCGGGATCCGTGGTTCGGTAGCAGTATCCGCAGGAAGGGTCGTCGAGGTGGCGGCGGCACAATCCAGTCTGCCGGTCCGCGTCGGAGCAGTGCGCGGGGCACCAGAGAGCCAGGGTGTCGCACAAGGAGCAGGTTTGCAGCGTGGCGCTCGGCGGCGGGAACAGCCCGCAGACGTCGCACGCGCGACTCGCCGCACACGATCTGCAAGATCGGTTGGGGTAAAATTCCCGATGGGCTGGCGTCGCGGTGCAATATCGGCACAACCGTCCATCAGCAACCCAGCAGTCGGCGCGCGTTTCGGCGGAGGTCGACGCAGCGCACGATGAGCACAACGCGAATGTTGAACTGCATGCTGGCGACGCGCAGGTTGTTGCACATATAGATGACCCGGAAAGGTTGGCACGGCACATGGTGCACGACGTCTGCGTTGAAGCGCACGCGTGGCACAGGCCGGAGCCGCGGTCATCAGCAGTCGTGTGCGTGGGGCACCGCACCGCGCACGCTAGTCCAACCGCATGGGTTTTCCTCGCGTGCTTGGCACACGTGGCTCATCGGACTGGGTTCTCCTCGGCGTTGCACCACGCGCGCCCGTCCACGTGGCAGGACCGTTGGCGCGCACATGGTTTGCACATGACCTGTCGGACGAGTTCGCGAGACTGGCCGCAGAACTTGCAACTTGGCTTGCGTGCCTGCTGCTTCAGAGCGTACTTGTCAGGGAAGAATTTTCGGTAGCACACCTTGCAGTACCCATCATATCCTGTTTGTGCGACTGGGGCGGTCTTCCTGGGGCGATGGTTCCCTCGGCGGACTGTGCGTCCGTGAGGCATGGCGCCCGAAGCTCAGCGGCTGGCGGCGCGGCCGTAGCGTCGGGCCTCGTAGTCGCGAGGGGCGCCGCCGCGCAACGGTTTGAGCCCAAATGTCACGAGGCGACGGATGTTGCGTCAACGATGGCGACGAGTGCGTCTTGGCCCGACTGAGACCTGCCGCGTAGGCGGCCGCGCGCCTGCTGAGCGCAGCAGGCAGGGCGCGCAGCAGAGCGAGTGTGGAAGTGAGTGTTTAGCGGCCGTATGTCGAGGATGAGGAAGGCTGTCGCTCCTCGCCCCCTGGTCATGGAACTTCGCGCATCTCTCCGGGCGGGGCGCGAGACGCGATTATCTTTGCGCCGTTCCGCGGGTCTCATGACGCGGGGCAACCCGCTGCCCCGGGCCGTCAGGAGAAGAGGGGGACGCGAAGGAAGACTGCAACGTCAAGAGAGGTGAGGAAGATGATGATGGTTG